ATAAAGTAAAAGAAATTCTAGAAAAATTAAAACGAGAAGACAAACCTCAAAAAATTATTATCAATTCAATACCGGAATCCATTATATCCAAATGAAGTGGCAAAGATAATTGCCCATCATCTTAACTTCAACAATAATAATTTCCAGCTCATGTTCAGATTGAACGTTCAAATAAGCAGATGTATTCTTTGGGTTCTGCAGTGTTCTTCATCCGCAGGATATACCAACAAATTACAGAAGTGTGGCAAATTATCACTATTAAAGAATGTCTTGGAATAAAGGATTATCTCGGAAGAATACTTTGGATTTAAATGTTTCGATTTCGGATATTCGTAAGAGCAATTCAAATTTAAAAACTAGTTACTAAACTCAAATTTAGTAGTGTCCACAAAAGCACTCTTTCAATATCCTGCATAAAGGATACAGCATAATTTATTAATTCCATAATAAGCAACAATATTAACAAAACCAAATTTGATAACAATTACTCGGCCTACTCCCCAGTACATCATTATTAAACATTAATAATTGTGAAGACAGTACCATCAGTAACCTTCCATACGATGAGAATATATACCAACAAATCACAGATGAAAACAGTTCAACAAGAGCATGCATAGCCTGCATAAATAGGACTCTGTGCCTCTTCCTAATTCACTCGAGCAGAGATATAGTCTCTAACTCCCTAAACAACCATCAAGAGCAGTATCTCATAACATCATTTTATACATCTCCCACAGAGGATTTGAATGAAAATTTAAGTATTCTTCAACTAGCATTAACCAATTTCCACAGACACCCCATATAATAGTGAAGATTTCAACTCAAACAGGGGGCTATTTAAGGAATAACCCAGAAGGAACTCTATAAATAACAAGCATGGGATGGGAAGGCCATACTCTGATCTTATACCATCTCAGCAACTGTATAAATGACTGGAAAGTTCTTCAAGACACAATAATTTGTGAAAAAAAAACCTTTCATAATAGATTAACAAAGCTTCTATCAGTAATGCAATGATATAAAATCAGAAAAAGCGCAAGTTAAAAACTTTTGAGAAAAATTGTGCCCCATCCATAATAAAATAAATGCCGCTAAAACAAAAGCAAGAACTAAATCATGCATTCATCCTTCTAACAAAACATTTAAAAATGTGGCAATAACTTCATAACAAGAACAAAGTTAACTGTTGCCCAGACGGTATTGTGGTTAACGGAGCCTACTACGGTACCGAAGGGCCCGGGTTCGAATCCCAGATATGACATGGATATTGTAAATGCATAGTGTTGGTGCAGCACTCTAAATATGCGACGAGCCGAATGTCCTCTCATGTAGATTGATGGGAGACCCCCTGGGGTGCAACCTCTCTTCGGAGTAGGCTATAGCAACCATTGTTCCATGTAATAATATAGACAAGATAACAACAACAACAAAATGAATTGGTGAACAGGAGAAGTTCATGCAGAACGGAGCAGAACAAAAGTGCTCCAGAGCTCTCAATAATGAAGATATTACTACCAAATCACAAAATGACATCCACAGCCAGTGAAGAGGATGTGTATGAATCATTTGTTTTTCCAGCGACAACACAATACCCCACTCAGGGCAGATGCTACTATATCCATTAGAAGTGAATTCGGACAAATGCGATCCTTGATCAACCAACAGTTTATCTGTATGTTGGTGTGTGTGTGATTATGGCAAAGCCTCGAGGGCTATATCTGCCTAAGGGAAGAGATGCCTTCGTGGAGAACTTTCTAAGGTAAACTGGCTCGTATACACATTACACAAGGCGAAAACCACAAAAACGCCCATGCAGCCAGCCCGTTCGCGGGATTCGAACCTCGGACAGAACTACCAGTGTTCAGCGACTTTACCGCTCGGCTGCTGGTGGGCCAGTTTATCTGTGGGATGGATGTTACCAAATGGGCAAATGCCAGAGCTCAGTGATGCTTTTAATCAATGATCATGAAATATCTGCATTGCAACACCAGCCTTATCATTTGATTCTGACTTAAAGATCACAATTCGCTGAGAAATAAAGACGTTTCGAACTATTCAGATTTTTTACTCATATTTCTGTTAATATTTGTAGTTAATAGCTGTAAATAATAATATAAAGTTAATTCATGAGTGTGTTTGAATTATTTCTTCATTTAAGATTTTTACATCTTACAAACGCCAAAATTAGAATGATCCAGAGAAATAGCCAAAACTCTTGTAGCATTTTCTTCTCCTTTAAATTCCAGTTTTATCAATAGAAAAATTTTATTATAACTTAGAACTCTGGAAAAAACTAGATTATACAGAAATCAAATCATGCATTTTGGATAGTCAAAATTAATTCATTTAGTTTTTGAAAGTGATATTCTTGCTCTCATCAGAAAATATTTAAGCATCAGATGAAAATCTGATGTGATCTTCATTTCCAACTAACTTTTCAGTATATAGTAATTAAATATAGCATTCAAATACTGATTTAAACTAAAGATATTTTTTGAATAGCAATACAGCACACTGACTTATTTCTCTTACAACACAGACTTTTATTTTAAAATTCTACTTAAAATTAACTATTTCAAAAGTCAAACAACAAAAATCAGCGTTATAGTTAACAAAATTTTCACAGGACTAGTTTCGATGGTTTTACCGAACCACCATCCTCAGCCGCAAAATCGCAAATGAACAAGATAGGAAATAATGATTAGATAAGATAAGAAAGCCTGGACAAGAATAAACAAGTGGCGCCATCTGTTGGTGAAACCAGAACTAAAACATAATTTCTTTAAAGGCCGAAGGCAAATTTGGATTGGAATTAGGATCGTTTACTAGAACAGAAAGATTTTTTATGAATGTGAAATGTCTCTAGAAAATCCAGTTCTCCAATGGAACATGTTTTTTGAATACTTTTGGCAGCAGAAAAATTGAAAGTGTGATTTTCGGACCAACAATGTTGAGCAACAGAAGAATTCTGTGTTTCCTTTTTTCTAACACATGCCTCATGTTCCTTGACGCAAAATTTTAAGGCTCTCTTAGTTTGGCCAATGTAAATTAAACCACACTGACAAGGAATCCTATAAATACCACAGGAATTCATATCCTTGAGTATGGAACTCAGAATTTTATTGATGGGAGAATAAACAACCCGAAAGTTAAATTTCTGCAAAATATGTGCAACTTTATAGCTAATTGATAGAAAGAAGGGAATGACAACAGAATTTTTATAATCTCCGGGGCAGTTAACAAGAGTGTGCCTGAGTATAGTGCCTGTTGAGAATTTTTTAACTGCTTGATTAATAATGTTGGGTGAAAAGCCCTTGTCAATAGCTATTGCTTTCTAAATAATTTAGTTCTTCATCAAGGGCTAGTTTGGAGGAGCAAACTTGAAGAGCACGGAAAACATAGGAATAAAATGAAGCTAACGTTTTGTTTAGTTCGGATGACATGATTTAAAGTGTGGTGGAAGGCAAACCGATGAAGGTTTACGGTAAACCGTAGTACTGAAGTTGGATGTGTTACGTGTGACCAGAATGTCGAGAAACGGAAGAGAATTGCAAGTCTCAAGTTTCAAAAGTGAAGCTGAATAGCAGGATCAATAGAATTCATTGTTGAAAGAACTGTTATTTAAATCATCTTTATTACCTTCAAACAGGGTAAAAGTATTCGTCTACGTAGCGGAACCATGCCAGGAAGTTTAAAGTTTCAAACAATTTTTGATTCATAATAATGCATGTAGATATCAGCCAACATAGGACAACATAGTCAACATAGGACTGAGGGGGCTTCCCATGGCTAATCCCTCAGTTTGCTTGTAATATTTATTTTGGAAAACAAAATGTGTTTGTTTCAAACAGAGTGAAAAAAATTAGCTCATCAATTTCGATGCAAGAGAAATGAAATTCGCGAAGTCTGGTTTCTAGACATCTTAACGCACCCTCCACTGGGACATTGGTGAATAATGATTTTACATCAAAAGAAACCATGAGTAAATTACTAGGAGAAATGTTTTTAACCTTTTTTACAAACTCTATTGAATTTTTTATGGTGTTATTGTCTAACAGAGTTGAAAATCTAGAAACTAAATATTTAGCTAATGGATACGAGGCAGTACCTAAATTTGATACAATAGGGCGGAAAGGAATACCACTTTTTTTAATTTTGGGAAGAGCATATAATCTGACACAATTCGCAACAGATGGGATAAGCGAATGTTTTAAGTTGCTTGAAATGATTTGCGAAGATTTGATCGCAGTTTTTATTTTTGACAAGTCCGAAGGTGAAGGATCTTTAGCCACTTGTTTATTCTTGTCCAGGCTTTCTTATCTTATCTAATCATTATTTCCTATCTTGTTCATTTGCGGTTTTGCAGCTGAGGATGGTGGTTCGGTAAAACCATCGAAACTAGTCCTGTAAAAATTTTGTAAGTATAACGCTGATTTTTGTTGTTTGACTTCTGAATTAGTATTTATTCGGCGTGTTATTGTGTCTTAATTAATTATTATTAATCAAATAAAAATATTAATGAATTGCATTCTGAAGAAAGTAATGTCATAAATGTTAGAAAATTTCAAACAAATAACTTTTATGCAAGTTAACGAGTGTTTATATTTTAATATTAAAAAATCTGTAATATTTAAGCCATACATGCATGAATGTATAAATTAAAGATCCTTTTGTTAATCAATGATTTATGTTAACCGTTAAATACACTTTACCCTAATAATATGCTGTGCATGTAATTATTATTATTATTATTTTAATATTAGCTTTTTGGGTTTTACTTTGATTTATAATCCAATCTTAGCACCAATAATAAAAAAATCAAAAATATCAAATACTTATGTTGCCTGTCAGGTATTCTAATGTAATTTAGTTTCGGATCTAGAATTTTTGTTAAAAAATTAATATGATACTAATCTAATCATTTATTTGCTCACCTAACAATTAACAAATCTAATAAATATCCACATTATAGATTATTTAAATGATTATAACAAAGGTCAACATAAATTTGTAATTTTATTAAAAACCTAAAATGTACAAAATATACATAATACATTGAGGACAGCAAAAATGAAAGGCACATTTGGCTAAAGGGCAAATATAGCACGCAAAGCATGATTTAATCTGAAAGGCACACATAGACAAGACAAGAAGATATGAATTAGTTATATTAACTTGCTGAAAATAAATATTTGGTAATAAAAACTAATACAGTAACCTAAAATTTTAACAGTGATTTTATAAAAAGTAAAGTATAAAGAGTTTATCAAGTGTGATTAATACTTGGCAATTACACATTGAAGGAATTTAACTTGTTCTATATAATTGTATCACAAATAATAGGCAAATAAAGCATTTAAGATTTGTATAGCCTAACTCTAAAAGTGACCTGTATTTCTTAAAACATAAATAAATAGTGATATTGAACATCAGTTTTATAAAATGATCATCTCCACGGAAGACCAAAATTATCTGGACCATGGGCGATCGTCTTAGTATTTTAAGAAAGTTTTATGAGTATCTGCTAAGTTTCACAGATATTGTATAGAATAAAATTTATTCTGGATTGATTGCTTCAGAAAATATTGTTTATGTTTGCTAATCATTGATATGAAAGGGAAATGCATTACACATGCAAGATGGATAAAATTGTTGACAAACAATAAATGCAATATTTTTATTAATTTTTAAAATTTTAAGATGCATAAAGGTGAAATATTCAACATTTAACTAAAATTTACATTTTATAAATTTCTATAAATTTTATATGCCATCAAAAAAAATTCCCTTTAAAAAGTATTCTTCAGTATGTTTAACACTGATACGGTAAGAAGTCAAAACTATTACTTTATAAATTACACAGGTTATTCAAAAAGAATAATTTTAAGTTATACAGTGGTTCACATTTATTTTCACATGTATTTCTGAAATTTATTTGGGTATTTTTCTGTTATCAGAACTGGATTCATAAATATATGTATGTAATGAGTGTAAACATGTGTATGTATATACATACCTTTAATAATATAATAATAATAATGTAACAAGAAAATAATTTTCCTATTTCACTTGCTTTCTTTTTTCCTTAATAAAATGAACCAAATTAGATTTTATAGAGCTATCAAATCCAGCAGTTTTTTTAAAATATTAATTAATTAAAATTACTTAAACTAGATTAAAATGAAAAGGTGTTTTGTGTTCTGTAGAGCAATTTTTAAAAGTACTATTTGTTTAGAAAGGACAGCAAAAAGAAAAATTTCGTAAATGAAATAAGAAAATAGGTTGCAGCAACATGGAACAAACTTTTAAATGTTAACTGTTTGTCTTTTTCATATATAGCAGTGCTACAACTAAACTCTAGACGTTTTTCCACAGTGAACTGATTTTTGTTTTTTTGGCCTTCCTCGTCCCTGTGTGGTTATCGCTAGCGTGCAGAAACGCAGTGTGAAATGTTTTGGTAACATGCTCTTTTCTTTCACTATGTAACTGTGAATAAATGTGATTAATTGAATAAGTTTAGCTTATTTATGAACCTGCAGGTAATGACAACCCAAACATATCTAAGATGCTAAATTATGGAAATGGATTTGTATGACAGAATTATCTAAATTGTGTTTTCAAATGGCTAATTAAAGTGAGATCAATTAGTAGCTTCAATAGTAATCTCAACTAGTACAAGAGATGGTACCAAAACAAAGAAAATACAAGTTAAAAATACGTTTCACTGAAATTTTAAATAAAAAAATTCTATTACTATTGTACTTATTACTCCTCCAATACTTAGGGCTCTCTTTGTGCTATTGCATAAGGATAATTTTAATTTCTATAAGAAAATCTATCTTTCATGTCATTTCAGAAAATATTTCAAGCTCAAAATAATACAAACAAACATAAGGAAGACAACACAATAAATCATCTCTTTCAATTACTCCTTGTGCCAAATATTTCACTTGAAATATTTCAGCACCATGTATAAATATACAAAATATACACTATTGGCCACAGACAAGTATAACAAAAACAATAGTTTGCAAAATATTTGAGCAACAGTAAAATATATTACATTTGTACAATAACAAAAATTTGCTCTTATAAGCTATATTAAGCAAAATCAAATTATAAATTGAAAATTCCTATTTTTCAGTGTTCTGAGATTCATAACATAATACATAATACAGAAATAATATTATTAAAAATAATTCTGTTGCAAATAAAATAAGCTTAAAAATATTTCATTATTTTATGTTTGTTCACTGCTTAAAGATATAAATTTTTTACAGCATAATTTCATCAAATTTCACACATGAAAATTATAATTTGTTTCTCAGTTGATAATTTACTCACTGACAGTTTTCATTCAATTGTTCAATAAACTGTTCTTTTTTCCTCAGATTAAATAATTTCTGAATAATCTTGATAATACAGAACTGCAAACATACAAATAATTTCTAAAAATGCATTAGCTAACTGAATATTGAATTCAACTGGTGTATCTCATAATCTCTTCGGATGATGGAAGAGGTATAATATTAATACAAACAATTTTACAATATTTACAAAAATGTGATGAAACACTGGCATGATGATATTTCCTTCTGTTAAAATCTTTCATACTTCCTTTACAGGGATGCATTTTGATAGACTGTGTACATATCACTTTTACAAAGATTGTTCAGAAAGTTGTTTGATTAAAACTGAGTCTTTCGAGGAATATCTTTCTTTTTTTGGCTCTCAAGCATAAAAATGACAGAAAATGAAACTTAACTCTTTATAAATATACATGATGAATGCCTGTATTTGACTAAGAGAAAGTCATGTGTATAATCAGTTTGGCAACATTCACTGTACAAAACGAACTATGACAGTTCCATCATTCTTACAATTAAAGAGTATGTATTATATGTTTGGCAACATCACACAGTTGAACAACTTTTTTCGCTCTGCAATGAATAGCAATTTAAATCTGAAAATTGAGGGGGGAGCTATACACAGTTCCTTGAACATAATGGCACATATGATATCTGAACTTTTTTAATTCGACTAGCCTGTATTGGACCACAGCACAGATCCTCAAAAATGAGTCATAACTGTTAAACTTTTCATCTTAGATTCCAGTTATACGAGTTTTAAACTCAAGCTCTGACTACTTCAGGTACAATAGCTCTCCTCTGAATACAGAGGTGTCCGTAAATTTCGTGTCAGAGTCCCATTGCAATTGCGCTTTATAGTTGCTTCCTTCTGAGGTACTTTTAAAGGACTCTCAGTTAATGGTCTAGCTGCTTTCCACTCTGTATTTGATATATATAGATTAGCATCTGTTCCTCTTGGAGTAAGACGTGGTAAGTCATGAATTTTTCTCTGCTTGAAAAAATACATTCCTAATGTTCCAAGTGCTAAGCCAGCAGCTAATCCTCCTATGAAAGCAACAATTACATGTTCCATGTATATACCATCGTCTTCAGCAACATGAGATTCCTCAACATCATATTTCACTGTAAGAGAGAAAACAATTTATATATGACACAAAATGATAACTGTTTTTTTCAGTTATAACAAGGGAAAATAACAAATACTAACATAAATCAAATAAACACATGCTGAAGGATTTTCTCTCTTTCTAAATGCTTCCCTTTTAATGAACAGTTTTATCAACTTAAAAAATAACCACATGAGAATATTTATGATTAAACAACACTAATAATTTATAACAAAATATATAGGAACTTTGGAATATGAACTCCTCTCGTCATGAACAAATTTCCTGAATGAAAAGTGTCTCAAGTTATGAACAATGTCTCCAGTAAGGAATATGCAAGTTGACAACAAATGATTTTCCAACATGTTTTGAGGTAAGGTTTTGTAAATTCAGACACAAAATTAACACTCAGAAACTTTTAGAAACTTAATAACATACATAAAATATACCGGCACTGACAGAACAGAAAACATTTTTGAATTTGAAAACAAGAAAAAAATTCTTTTATTCCATTAAGATATGTTAATTAAACAAGTTTCAGGTAAAGTTAAAGATGGCATCACACACTGAAACACACACACATTACCTTGAAAACTAGCACACAATGAAGATTATATTACCTACGCAATGTCCCCCTTCATATGCACAAAATTTTTTTTTTTTGGCCTTCTGCATAACAGAAGTTTCTGCACAAAATGCATTTTCCAAAAAACTTTATAGAAAAATTATATTTTTAATCAAGCATAGCAAAATGATTCTTATTCAGTCTTTTGAAATGGAAGAAAGATAAAATACAAAAAGATGACAATATGATAAGGTCATAACTGAACAGCAATGAGCTATGTGAGATTGAGTGAGTGAAACATTACTAGCGGTGCTATCTGTTGAGAAGAATATTCTTTGCAAAACTAAAAACTGTTGTTTGCTAAGCTGATGCTTAAATCATCATATCAGAAGTACAATCAAGATCCAAGGGCAAGTTAAAAATTAATTTTCTAGCATACCACTGCTACAGAATCATACCTACTCTACCAGCACAGTATGCAAGCTGTGGGATATGTGAGCCTTACTGCATTGAACAGCATGTGAGAGGTGAGCATCAGTTTGAGCAGAAATGCGTGGTGTATGATCGAGCCTAGGTGCATCTATATGGGTTGTGGGAAATATCTATATGTATATATATAACAGGATGACTTGGAGAAAGCTGCAATGGATTAGCAATGGTTTCCTTAACTTGGAAAGGCTTTACTGTGCAGTTAGAAAGATGAGACTTGAAGACAGACGTAGCCATAAATACCACATATAAGTTTACTCCTGAATGATCAATTTCGAGGACACATTCTTTTTCATTAACATCATCATTATGCTATACACTTCACAGTTTTATACAGATTATATTTTTAGAACAATGGACAATAGCTGGCAGAGGATAAGCAAGGTAGCATCCTAGTGACAACAGAGGCAGAAGCAAAAGTGCACAGTTATCCAGTATTATCCAGATCAAGAGAAGGTTTTGGTTTAGGTTGCTTATTAAGAGAATGGTTTCAGTTCTCGAAATTTTGAGTTCAGATTCCGAATTAGCTATGTCATCAGTGTTATGCAAGCTATGTAACACATAAATAATGCACACTAGAAATAATGCAGTCCAGAAAAATTATTACTGTTTTTAGGATAGAGAGGGGGAATTAAGGACTAGTGATAGTTTAAATTATAATTTTGAGATACAGTGCAAAGTCCATAATCAGGACGTCGATTATCCGGAATTATCTATAATCTGGACCTCAAAGCCACAAACCCTTTTTTTTTTTTTTTTTTGTATGCTTTATGCATTGGCGCTTTGAAAGAAATGTTTAATAAAATAAACAAATAAATATTAAGCTTTTTTTTTTTTTTTTTTTTTTTTTTTTGTAAAATTTGATACCCTTTAGATCATAATTGCTCTTTATTTCATAAATTACGATTTCATATTTTTAACTGTATAATTTCTGCATGCCATCTTACCAGATTTAAATTGATGATATATAATCCGGAAAAGCCTCTAATCTGGAATCGCCAAAGTCCCGACGAGTCCGGATTACGGACTTTGTACTGTATATATATATTGTATTGTTCTCACAACTTTTCTTCTAATATATATATATATTGTATTGTTTTCACAACTTTTCTTATAATATATATGCATACAAACATTTCTCATTTTAGTTTTTAACTTCGACAGCCAGAAATCAATTTTCACTTTATGAACTTTTTCAAATATGAACAAATTTGTTCACAAAGTGAGAAATTTGTAGAGAATCAAAAAGAGTTTGAAGCCTTACTTGTTTGAAAAACCAAAACTTAAAATTCTGAGATGTTTGCTACAGTCAGCTGTGCCATACAGTACTATCTATCATCTTATTTATGATGAAAGAAAAGGAAACTTCTTTCTTAAGAAGACGAGTTTAAAAGTTTTCTTAAGAAAGACACTTCAGTGTTTCTGCTCTATCTAACATGCCAACAACTTCCATCTCTCATACAGATTCCTCATCACAAATGTCTCCTTTACTTCATGATGAGTCTTCAAAAAACAAGTCAGACAATGATCTTATCTCTACCCTATATACAGGCCTACTAGCCTCATTCTCACCCTATCCACACATGCCTCAAAGATAACAATTCAAGGTACATACTGTAATTTTTTTATTTATTTATAATGTACTGTGGTTAAAATATATCATTTATTTGTTTAGTATTTTTAATTATGTATTTGATAGTATTTATAGCTCTTATCTAATGAACATCTCTAGATGATATACATAGTGAATATAGTAATATTTTACAAACAATTTAAGGTACAAACAGTTATTCACAACATAACTCGTTCCTAAGATGAGAGAATTCTGTACATAAGGAGAGCATAAGTAGCTTACATATATCCATTGTCATTAATCTATAACAAGGAGCTGCATAAGGTCAAGTAATGAAACATTGTTAGGATACTCTCTTTGAGAAAAATATAATTTGCAATCTGAAATACCAACGTCATCAACAGTTAAGTTATCCTGGTGCTTAAACCATTGGACCAAAAGTGCATCCATGGTCCAACATCAAGTTGAGGATTAATTTCAGACCTTAAGCATGCCTTTATTACACTTGCATTATAGAGAGATTTATCACATGATAATTTTATTACATTCACTACCAGAAGATTAGACAGAATTTCATTCAACAATCAATCAATTTAATCATGAATTTAACATTCAACAATTACAAACTTATAATCAGAAATAATACATACCACCTTCTACTTGATTTACACATAGACGGGTTTCCCGACTAGCACCAGAACAGTACTTTGAGCTAGGAACATCAATTCTACATTTACGTTGTCTGTGCTGTTCTTGTCTGTAATCGCAGAGAGACCAAACAGTCCATTCATCCCAACCTTCAGATTCTATAGTTGATAAAACAAATATGACATATTTTTTAATTAGCAGTTTACAAGATACAGAGTATAAATGAATTTTTACCACAATTTTTTCATTGATAATATATGTTATAAAGCTTACATTGAGAATTTTTTCTTTCTCCTGAATTACATTTTAAGTACAATTACAATAGAATGAAAAATTTCATTAATTTAAACAACTACAGAATACTCTTTGCATTACAAATTAAGAGTGCATTTTTATTCAATAAAATTTTTTTAATATTCTTAACCATAAAGTATTTTAAAATACAATATTTTAATGAATATACTTGATAATGAACAACTATTTTTAACTTACTCCCTTTACATCATGTGATAAAGTTTGCTCAATTTGAAGCAAAAATTTAAATCTTACATACCAGATGCAAAGCCACAATGATTTACATGAATTATTTTTAACATGACAATGAACGTGCACATGCAATTTGATTGAAAAGGTGACAAGCAGTTTTAATTTCCATAAATGTTGATCTAGAAATATATTTCCAGTTATAAAGTTTCTCAGAAAAAAGGTGCAAAGTTTTAGAGAAACAGTTTCAATATTGTGGAGTTTTTTTTTTTTTTTTTTTTTTTTTTTTTGGGGGGGGGGGGGGGGTAAACACAAAATCTAATTTTTTTGTATAGTAGAGCAAAAGTTGACCAAGTTACTGATTGATTACATTTTAATAAGTTAGACACAAAAAATTCCATAACCTTATATGCAAAATTTACAGAAATATTCAAGAACAAATTTATTGCTAGTTTTGAGATCTACTGCTAAACAATTTTTATCAAATCTGAATTAGATTTAAACAGAAATAACAAAAGAAAAGCTGCTAATTTGCTCTAAAATGAAATTATTAATTACTGACATTTCTGTGTATTTTATACATAACAGTTTGGAACCTTTCTGTATTTAACTCATTACAGCACAATGAACATTTTATTAATCAGGTTTTCCTCCCTCTGGGAACCCTACAAAGGGCTAGATTTGGTATTTACAAAATTTTCAGAAATTCTGTAACTCTTGCACCCTTTGTGATGCAAAACTGTACATAAAATTTTCTCTCTTTCTGTATTTAACTCATTACAGCATAATGAACATTTTATAAATCAGGTTGTTTTTTTTTCTTCTGGGAACCCTACAAAAGGTTAGATTTGGTATTTACAAAATTTTCAGAGACTTTATAACTCTTGCACCCTTCGTGATGCAAAACTGTTCATAAAATTTTCTCTATCTTATTTTGAGAATCTGTTATTGGGTATACATGTCTAGGTTAAAGATGGGTATAAAGCCTCTACTTATCTTTTACAAAATGCTGGATTATACTATAACTGTAAAAAGTACCCCCATTAAAATATTGTACATTTAGAGAGATTTTTAATTATTTCAATAAAGAGTATTCCAGTCCAGTATTATGTAATAAATACAAATAAACAATTTTAAAGTAGTATATTACCATAAAGCATCTTTCTAAGTAATTTTGAAAGAGAAACCACACATCCTAGTTTTAAATTATTGAGAAGATTTTTGTGACTATAACATAGGTTAAATATGACTCAATAAGTAAGAATTTTATTGATTCAACATCTGAAGCCTTTGGTTTAGGCACCTTTGTTATTCTGGTACTTACATTAAGCTTGTACATTAAACCAGTTCCTGAATACCACTGCCAATAACAGTACCCACTACAGCTTCTGTGATTGCTATAGTACTTGCAGCAAGCACAAATGTGGGTCAGCTTTTAAATTTGACACAAACTGATAAGAAAGCAGATTGGTAGGCAGTATTATTGGAGCAGATTGGTAGACAGTGTACAGGGAGGTATATAAATGCGACAGTTCTTCTGCATATTTATAGGAACAGCACATACTTTTAGTTTCATTTTTTTATTTCTTTAGCATTTTCAGAAATCATCCTTGTTCTAAACTTGAGCAAATAAATTATATTATCAATATGATGGTACAGTAAATAATTTAAAGATTTTTTCATGTTAAATTACATTGATTTATTATTATTAATATTTATATTTAGATATAATGCAAATATATATGAATCTTAGTATTAAAACAACCAAAGCATTTCCAAATTACCATCACAGGGTGGCAATTCACATTGTCTTTCTATTCTAGAAGAACCTTTGCATTCTGCACCACTTCCTGAAAGCGATGGGTTGTCACATGTTCTCTCCCTGTATTGTACACCAGTTCCACATGTGACAGAACAAGATGACCATTCGGACCACTCAGACCAGTCAACATCAATATTCTTAGAACCTAAAAGTAAAATATTAATAATAATAATAATTAACATTGTGATAGCTTTTAAGGCATAAACATTACTGTATTTGACAGCATATAAGACGCACCCTTATTTAGACGGCCACACACAAGGAAAAAAGTTTCAATAGCGTGGTTTCTTTTAGTTCTCACATTTCGTAAAAGCCAAATTAACAATTATTGAATGCAATTACCTTCACGTATAAGACTGTGTCCTTCACGTATAAGACTGTGAAGACTGTGTCCTTGACGTATAAGATGCAGGTAACTTTTTTGAGACCAAATTTAGGAAAAAAAGTGCATCTTATATGCCGTCAAATATGGTAATTAAGTATTAATAATAGTTACAAACTGACTCTGATATATTCTCTTAAATTTAACTAACATTAAATGCAAAAACATTTAAAAACTTTTCAAATAAATAAATAAAAATTCTAAAAGGTTTCAGATTTTAAACTACGTGTAAAGGGGCGTTTTTTTTTAACATTTTGTATGTTACCTTTATTTATTAAATATCCCGTTCTTCGCACTTAAATCATAAAATTCAGTTCAAGAGCAATATCCCATATCTTTAGAATTTCGGATACACAGTCTCGTGCACTGGAAATAAAAATGTTTTCCCTGTACAATGTTGGCACTGTTCGCTTTGAAATCTTTGAGTTTATTAATAAAAAAATCATTGAAGTTTTACAAAATATTAAATGGATAATAAAACAAATTCCAAATTTCAAATTTGTGCTTCCAGATGCCCATATTCGCATAAGGATTATGTTATTCAAAATTTGATGGCTCTAGGTACCCTTGTTTTATTACAACGTGAGAATTTAAGTAGATTCTTCATTATTTAATTTCTTTAAGTATAATAGTGGGTGATAATATTTGGTGGCAACAATTTGAAAAGTGAAACAATGCTGGTAGTGAATCAACGCAAAATGCTAAAACGAAATTAATAGCTCCTCTGGGCAAATTGCCCATTTGGACTAATAAAAATATTCATTGTTTTGCAAGATGAACTTTTCATTTCAACCATAATTTCAGAAGTATTCTATAATTTTTCTCTACCAATTATTCTATTCAAATGCAATTTTAAATATAAACACTCTTTATATTCACACAAAACATTTATAAGGCAATAGTACTTCTAAGTGCTAAATTTTGAAATCTTCTAAATTTTGAAAACTACCTACTAATTTTGAAAACTTGTTGACTGATATATCAAATATCACAAAACAAATTAAACCATTTTCCTAAATGAACTGATCCATGTGCCTGAACTCTCTGTAACTTATGCAAAGAGAAAATATCCAAGAAAAATGGGATCATAGGAAACTAGATAGGCACAGTAGAAAAATATTAGAATTATTAAGAACAATGAATAAAATAATTCTTGAATTAGAGTAACATATTCTACCAAGAATGCAGAAGATGTTAAGTTTTCAAATAGTACAGTTATAAGATATTTTCTCCTTCCTTTCTGCATGCCTTCATGGTGTAATGATAGCACACTTGGTGCATATTCAAGAGGTCCAGGTTCGAACCCCGGCGAGGGCATTGCTCATTTCTGATCTTTCCTGCTTCAAAATAACCTAATGATTCTACACAGTAAAAGCTTGACTGTATGGAAAAAGCTCCGGAAATGTGGAATTCCAGATATACAAAAATTCTGGGTAATTCAACCTATAAAAAAATGCAACTCATGATAGAAAAGCCAAATGAATGAAAGAAAAATTTCAAGTTTAAAATTACAACTAGAGTCATTTTAATTGTTAACATCTTGAATATCAAATGCCTATACACATAAAGCGCTAATTGCAGACATAACTACTGAAGTAAAACATCATATTATGATCATAATTTTGCCACCGTGAAAATTGGTCAAGATCTCAGCAAATCAGTGCTAATCATTTCTGCAGAAACTTGAAGGAATAGACTGCTCTTTATTTAATCAACATATACAAGTTATGGACATATAAAAAACTTAAATTGCTAGTCATAATTTTTCACATTGCACAGCCAGTGTTTATTCATTTTCACATAAGTCATACTTTTCTTGATGGTAGAATTCTGTAAATTTACTCTAGTGCATGCTGTTCTATTGAATATACCCAATTTTTATAATTTTTTTCAAAACGTGATTGAAAAACAGATAAACAGCAGTTAACTTACACTGTTTTTTACAAAAATTAAATCAGCTTGTTGAGAATTAACCAGGTTTACACATAAAGCCAAAGTGTTATGTCACACTTATCTATTCCTGGTGCTAACTCGCATTGTTTGTTAACAGTTTTTGTTTATTTCAAATCATAGTACTATTTGTGCTTTATAACAGAATTAAAATTCTCTTAGCTGCTTAATTTTACATTTAAAAGAAAAAAGTTTCTATATTCGAAAGCATTTTTGTTAGATGAATGCTGAATAGTTAGGCTTTTACTGTGTTTCGAACAATCTTAATTTTAATACATTTTAAAGTGCCAAATAATTTATTTTAAAATTATTATTTCTTTCAAGAACACGAGGGAAAAAATTAACAGCAAATTGAGTAAAAAAGAAACTTCAAAAATACAGTTTCAAAATTAATAGCATAATTTAGTTACATCTATATTTATATTATAATTTGCTACTAAAGAATACATTACCATAAGCCTTATACTACATTACATTTCACCTTAAAAAGGACCTTCACTTTGTATGCTTAATTTAAGGCTGATAAAGATAAACCTTCAAATCAATTTTTATGGTGTTATTGCTGTTCTGCCAAAAACCCACTTAATTAATTAGTTGAGGTCAAGTCTCCTTCCTGCCTTCAGGTGAAAATACTTCATAAAGTAATACCGTTAATGGTATATACTGAACTATACTGCCTATACTACTGAAGATGTTTGTTAAATGAATTACAATACACTAGGAATCTGACAGTTATTCATTTTAAAAACAGTTATCTGTCATGCATGTGAAATCAGTAATTATTAAATGAATAATCTAATTTTAAATTGCAATTGTTTGATATCGTATAATACTCATAAGAAGCCTCAAATGTTTCTTGACAAATAGTTATTTTATTGAATGACTTCACACTTTTTTAAAAAATCAGACACTTAGGATAATAGTAATTAATTAAGATAATAATTACCTGGATCTGAGCAACCTGAGCTGCCCTCCAAGCAATATCTCTCTTCTTTCTTTAAATGTCCTAAGCGAATATCATTCACATCAACAACATTTGCTCGACATATAGCTCGGAATCTTTGCTGAAAGAAACCATCTTTTGTGAAGTTCACCATCATCCATGAAGTCCATGGAGATGTTTTCCTATGTTCAGGACACATGTGGGTATTACAAATACGAAAATCCTGGTGACAACCAATACACTCCTTGCCTCCATACTGAGGCATAGGATCATCACAACTGCGTTCTCGAGTTTGAATTCCACCTCCACAAGGAGAACTACACTCACTCCAAGAGTTCCATTCTGACCAATGACCATGTATGGGCAGTCGAATGTAAACTAAATAAAATACAATACATGTGTGTAAATGATTACAATATGAAATACTTTATGTAATTGCATAATTAAATATTTTAACAAATTATTTATGGCCTTTATTACTTTATTACAACATAGTGTAACATAGGTAAAAAATATCACTGATATGGACCTGTGTTACATTACATTTGCTTTAGAATAATTTCTAGGCTTTCCCATCTGAGGAATAACAATCAGGATGAGAAATGTTTTTGCATCACATGCATCTTCAACACATGTTACAATGGAAGAGTGGAACTAGAACATTGCATGGAAAAGTGAAATAAGAAACTAAAGGTCATGTGCACTCACAAATTTGCAAAGAAAGATTCATACAAGTACTTTGATTGCATGAATCATTCTTCACAAATTTTTTATTCTATTGCTATTCTGATTCTACTGTTATTTGATGTTACTGCTATTCTGTTTATCATGCAAAACCATACTACCCATTGAAATCTGGAAGAGGGTAGCAGAAACTAGCCTATGCTCTTATTTTTCATCATAATAAAGCCCAATAAAATATGCATCAATCACAGGAATTATGTGAGAGTAGAAGAAATGATACTTCTACTCTCTCTCTATATATACCGAGTTATCATCATGGTGTCAAACCTAGATGACTCTCTCCCCAACTGGTCTTATGGCTACTAAACTGAAAATTTTAAAAGACAAGGTGAGCAGACTTCCTGTAATAATATCTGTCTAGCACAGAAAAAAAGTCTTTTACTTCATTACTCTTAATATTTAATGATGCAGTACATACAAATAGTACACTATAACAGGGGCGACTTAAAGTAGAAAATAGCATAATATGTATAACTGTAATATAGTATAATAGGTGATTTTAAGCATAAAAATGTTCACATTTATTGCAGAGTATATATATTTTATTACTGTTAATATGTACAGATTTATTAATTAAAAAAAGCATTGTTTGTTTTATGTGATTATGAAAGCCACAGGAAACATAAGTGATAAACCCATAAAATTATAAAATTCTACTCAGTTCCCAATGAAATCTGAACAACTGAACTGTGTATGCCTTATTATGAATTGTTTTGGAGTTTCAGTATTATGACACAGTTTTTAGAGAAAGACTCCTCTGAAGCGTCAGCCCACCAGCGGCCGAGCGGTAAAGTCGCTGAACACTGGTAGTTCGGTCCGAGGTTCGAATCCCGCGAACAGGCTGGCTGCATGGGTGTTTTCGTGGTCTTCTCCATGTGTAACGTGTATACGAGCCAGTTTCCCTTAGAAAGTCCTCCACGAAGGCATCTCTCCCGTTAGGCAGATAGCCCTCGTGTGCTTTGCCATAATTAAATACACCCCCTCTGAAGCGTCATCACCATGTTTAACAACATTTATTGTTCCGATCACAGGTCTTAAATGTTAACATTTCTATGTTTTGTAACGTATGTTCATTTGTATGCACGTTTTTGTTGTTGCTAAGATGCTAATGTGGAGAACATAACTACAAAACCAGGATTCCATGGCTTATTTAGATCTGAATATTAAAAAATGGTTTCCAGCTAAGTGGATTGAATATGATTGGATTATTCAGTTATGGCAAAGCACACGAGGGCTATCTGCCTAAAGGGAGGGATGCCTTCGTGGAGGACTTTCTTAGGGAAACTGGCTCGTATACACGTTACACATGGGGAAAACCACGAAAACGCCCATGCAGACAGAGCGTTTGTGGGATTCGAACCTCGGACCGAACTACCGGTGTTCAACGTCTTTACCGCTCGGCCGCTGGTGGGCTCCACCTAAGTGGCATTGTATCCAGATTCACAACATGCTTATGCTTAGGAATGATGGGAATTAGTCCAAAGACCTTTCATATCAAGCAATTAAAGCTGTTCTTTCTTTTTCTTTCTTTTTTTTTTTTTTTTCTCCCAACATGAATACAATTTTCCACCAATACTTGACACTTTAGAATTCTACCAAAAGTCTATGTGCATTTTGAAATTTTCTAAGGAGAATTTCATAATTTTTAGTGGGTAGCATCATGATCAGGCAAGAACATATCCATCAGATTTTAAAATATATGAAATCTATCAATCAAGGCAGAGGCAAAATGAGCCTTGCCTTCAATCTATCACTGCAAAATATCTCAATCTGAAATCCAGTGCTCTGAAAGCTTTGAACCATTAGGTCAAGATCATTAACTAAATGATAATATGCAGTATTATTTACAATATGAAAATGAAAATGGATGAGAACATAAATACAGACACAGAAGGATATGTACAATCCTAAGGCTGCAATACAGTAAAATTTGCAGCATGCAAGAAACTATTCCAGGCTATTAAAAATTCTCAGTGTTATGCTTGTGCACTCCTATACATACTTAAAAGCATTCCAATTCCTGCACGTGTTATCCATCCGCACATGATTAATGACTGACTTGCAAAAATGGAAGTCAACTGTCAATTAAAGAGCCAACTGGTGGGATCACCAGCCATCCCATATATGCATTGGTCATTTTGTAGTGAACGAAAATGGTACTAATAACTCATATAGAAGTCATGTGCTGTCAGGTAGTGTGTAAGTTATGCAAAGTCACTCATTAAAAGTTTTTTGAAAAGAACTTACATGCTCTGTGCAGTGATAACTATAATATTCTGGTTGGTGCTTTCACTCCTTTTTGTTAGGTTTTCTTTATTTGGGAAAATATCTTGGTTAAACTTGTACCTCAGCTGAACCTATATAGTCCAGAATTTTATTGCTGCTGGAATTTCTTTTGCAAGCAGTCAAAGATTCTTGTCAGTTTGATTTTCTTGTTTTCAAATAAGAGCACATTACTGTTGCAGCCAAATTCTCACTTACATTACATTTCCTTCTACAGCTTTATTATGAAGCAGATCATTATACTTCTGACCATACTATCATCATGCTAGTGCTATTATGAAAATGGATAAGACTTGCTATCATAGTTACTTAGGTATCCTCCCATTGCTATCACAGTTACTTGTGTATCCTCTCTTTTATACTAATTTTAACACTTGAAAACCAGTAGGGGAAAAATACAAAGTACAGTCAAAAGTCTTTAATCTGGAAGTCCATAATCTGGAATGATCTATAATCTGGACCTCAAAGCTACAAACTTCCTGCGCATGCGTCCACGCATATTGCGTTAACGCATGTGCATAATACCTTTACGCATATGCATAATACGTTTACGCATGCGCGTTTAATGTATAACGGACGGTATAAGCTAAGCTAAAATTATCTAATTATCTATTTCAGTTAATGTTGCAGATTGCGTTGTTCCTTAATCTTCGAATTGGATCCAGCTTATTATTTTTTGCAGACTGTTAGAGCAATTTTATAAAAGTAAGCTTGAACTTTCGATTATGTCAAAAAGAATTTCCAATTCTGGAGCTGCCGAAGGATCTACAAAGCGAAAGCGTGTTTTGATGTCCATCAAACAAAAAGTGGAATTGCTGCAAAAAATGGATAAAGGCATATCCTTTGTTTCTCTAACCATTCCGAAATCTGTTTATCAATTTCACGTGGCTCTGAGGGGGGGGGGGACGACGCGGTGCGCAATGAACTGGAAGTTGATCTGTCAGCACTATCCTTATCTTCAGGGCAGATGTTTTTATTTTATTCGGCTTATAATTCCTTACTAAATGTAGTATTTCATCTCGATGTACTCCGTCTTTGATATGATTTAAATGAAATTCCTCGTCATTATAAATATCACGAATACACATTTAATAGTTTTCTGGTTGCAATTTTCTAATGTCGACTATGTGTAATGTATGCTTTATGCATGTGCGCATTGAAAGAAATGTTTAATAAAGTAAACAAATAAATATTAAGCTTTTTTTTTTTTTTTTTGTAAATTTTGATACCCTTTAGATCATAATTGTTCTTTATTTCATAATTTGCGGTTTCATATTTTTAATTTTATAATTTCTGCATGCCATCTTACCAGATTTAAACTGATGATCTATAATACGGAAAAACCAATAATCAGGAATCGCCAAAGTCTCGACGAGTCCGTATTAAAGACTTTTGACTGTATATACTAATTCTGGAGCACATAAAAAAGACACAGAACGGAACACTAATAATCATTTCAAATGATTTGTCAATTTCAGTAGAATTCTTTTTACTTACACAAAATTTCCTATTTGTTCATAAAATCTACGTTTTCGCCATAAATCAGAAGTTCCTAAATTATATGATGAAAAAAACTAAGGGGGAAAATAGTGTAAATATGGTCTTTAGTTTTTCCTGTGAATAATCTGTTTACTATAAGGCACATTATCCTTCCTTTGTAGGAGGAAATCTTTCATTCCAACAAATGTGTTTTCATCAAATTAATTATCCTGTATACCCTGTAAAAGCTGCAATAATCTCTAAATTTTGAATTATGCTACCAGTTCTTGAGATACTGATTCTTGAGATAAAGAATTTTAGAACTTTAAAAATTATTATTTTAGTAATCTAGAATATATGTTTTTACACAATTTGTAAAAATGATTACAGACTTTAATATACATACCTGGGCAAGGAGGATTTGCTATACAATACATTTCATCTCTTTCAGGCCCTATACAGTTGTGACCTCCATAGCTTGGTGCAGGATTACCACAAGTCCTTCTTCTCATTTTAATAGCAACTCCACAAGACTGAGAGCAAGCAGACCAAGCTGACCACTCTGTCCATTGTCCATGAACTACAGATTGCATAAAGATAATTAAAACCTTAGATATATTTAAGAATAATTTTACTATTATACTAGTATTAAATATATAAAATATAGCATTGAGCATAAACAGTCAAAAAGATGGCAAGAAAACATATTATTCCTCAATATTATTTATAAATAGCTGCATATATGCTGCCACTTACAATAACCAGAGTGGCAGCATTCTTGGTTATTGTAAGATCTGATAAACTGTGTAATGTAGAGCAAAAGTCACTACTGGTCACAACTATTGATGTTAAAAAATAAACTCTCTTTTTATGTGTACCATTCTTTCAAATGCTGCTATGTTGCCAAGACCATTATTATTTGTTTTACTCAGCAATTTCAATTTAATTATTTGATAAATGGACCATAATGCAACAAGCATTTTTTCATAAAGAACATGGTTTAGAAATACTAATGGCGTGATGAACAAGAAAACCTCAATAACATGCTTAAGTAAATTACTAACTTAAGTAACTTACTATGCTTAAGTAACTTATATAGTTTAAACCAAAATTAAAATATGATACAATGAAATAACTGCATTGATTAATTTATATTTATGGATACAAACCATGGAATTACTTCTGACCATATGAGATATCATTCTCCAGTTTGATATTTTTAATGATGATTTTATGATTTTAACAACTTAAATTCAATTATGCTTATAGTTACACTTCTAGTAATTAGCATTTATATGGTGGAAAATATATATAATTTGTTTTACTAATTAAAGATGCAAATAACTTTGATTTATTTTTATAATTGTCCTACAACTAGTTTTTGGACTCAGATCAAAAGAATAGTAAGTAAGTCTCCTAATCTTAATGAATCAACTGCATAGATGCATGTCTCAAATAATGCAAGTCAAATTTAAAAAAAAATAAAACTATTTCTTTACATCAACATTTTTATTAATACTAGAACCGTGGTACTTTCGATATACCTAGAACCATGGTGCGGGTCAATTTCACCCTAGCTATGCACAAGTGATTTACTTTAGCTAATTAAAACATTTTATTTTTATGTAATAATCAATATTTCTCAGAATTTACTTTACATATTTTATATAAATCAATGGAAATTACCTAAATTATTAGAAAATCATATTATTTAAAATTTGAGTAAGTATAATAACATGTCTTTTAAACAAAATGAAACATAATTTTTTTAATTTTGATGGAAAAACCGAGTATATCATTTAAATAAGTTTAGACATAAATTTAGAGAAAAAATAAAAATTTTACCAGTTACTTATTAGTTTTACAGATTTTTAAAAATCCAATTTATTGTACACATTATGAACAAAATTTTGTAATAAGTTTTATACATTTATCTTAAACGGGTGCTTTTTTCTTTTAAACAAATGTCTTGGGTTCTATTTTAACATTTTGAACTGTAACATTGGACTGGTTTACACTTATCTTGAGGTTTTTTCTGTCGTTTTTAGAGGTTTGCTATACACCCATAAGTCACCTTTTTTTGTCGGGAGAGAACAAACTTTTTTCTCAGTTCTTCAACTAAGCCCTGAATGAATTGCTGTCTATTAAAAGATTTTCGAGATATAGCTTTGTGTAAAACCCAGGCACTGACAGCAATAAGGTACAAAATATTATTAAAAAAATCTGCACCGGCCATCTACGGGAAGCAGACTTGACAATATACTTCATTGCCATTTGGTCAATCGTGTCCACACTGAATTTATTGCGTTTTGTCCACAACGAATTTATTGAAATTGTATCAGTAATTTTTTTGGACTATCTATAATTTCTACAGCTGGATAAAGACTACTTAGCAACAAAACATTATCTCTTTTCCCTTGATAAACAGTAAGACTGATGTCTTTATGTGTCAGTACCATAGTCGTATGCAATGCGGATTTTGACCTTTTTACAGAGACTGTGTTTTACAGTTCCTACAAGGCTGGTGTTTTTAGATTTCAGTGCCTCTACAAGCTTAAGTGTTGTGAAAAAGTTATCTGGCGTGACATTTCTATCTTTGTTTTCATATGGACTTAATAGTCGCAGTACTACACATTGAGAAAGAGAAACGTTGAATAGACTTTGGTTATCTTTTCCAAGATATGGGAATCCATTTATTAGATATTTTGAGTCACATCAGCAGCTAACAAGAACTTGATTCTAAATTTATTCAAATTCCAATTCAAGTCCTTTTGCACAATATATACCACGTGCATACAAAATTGCTATAAAAGCATCCATTTCTTCTACTGTTATATTCTATTCATTTTTATGAATCTGTTGTTGAGGTTGAGCTTTTCTTTATATGCTTCAATATCCTTTCATACATAAAAAGTCTCCAGGCACTTGACGGACTGTTGTCTATAATACTGTGGTTAACCATGTGGTGCTGGGCCATTAATTTCCTTCAAAATATTTTACTTTTCTTCCTTTATCAGTTGTTCCTAATTGTACGACATTCCAAACTGTCCCATCTTTGCCACTTCATTATTTCCAACTTTGAATGCTACTGGTGATTTTTTTTTTTTTTTTTTTTTTTTTTATTTCCTTGAATGTTTGCATCTTTTCTTAGAATTTTCTATCTTTTTTTTAATCTGATAAATTATCATCATTATTGCAATGAGAAGGTCCAGCAATTGTTAGGGCACTGCCAGAGTCATCATCACTTTCATTTTCTTCATCTGTATTCGAATTTTCCTCATGAGCAGGCAGGTATTCATCCTGGCTGCTCAAATCAAAATACTCTCATCATTATTATCATCTTCTGTATAATTTTCAGATTATTGTTGTAAATATTCCAAAGCTTCCTGAAGAGTGTTGAACAATCCTAAAAGACGTCCTGACATCTTATCTATAAATCTCTACTAAATATAGAATAAAAGCAACTTCAAAAAGTCTTTCGAAATATTTGCTGTAATTTTCCACTACATTCGAACACAGTTCCAGTTTAGAACCTTGACTGAAAATCACACTATTCCCTATCTTGGTGCAGTCCACAGTCCATTTTAAAAAATAGAGGGCGAGTCAGATGTACTTTACATTTACTTCCAAGAAAATGCATCTGTTTTTTGTCATTTGGGCATAAACATTTCTTATGGGTCAAAATGGCCCGCTTTGCAGTTCTAGGTATAAGTGTTAATAATCCGAAATTTATTTATGTTACACAATTTCAAATTCGGTAAGTTATTGTTTACCTTAAATTATTAAAAGTCATGAAAGGAATTTGTTTTTCAATCAATACTTTTCATGTGGTGACAACTTAAACATCGGCTTGGGTCAAATTGATCCGCTCCGCTGTTCTAGCATTAAAAAAAAGGACACCTTTAAAGTGAAAAAGTTTACTGATATACTTACTACAGCAATTGTTCTGCATTCATAGGTTGCAGTCAAATTTATTATATTATTATTATAAAATTATTGCAACAGAAGATATTTCCAACTTGATGGAAACAAAAGAAAAATTATTTTTATTTCTAATACAATATTTTCAACGTATGAATACAAACAACAGCCATTTTATTAAATATCAATTTAAACATACCTGTACAATTAGTAACCTGTATTGAAATGCCATCACATTTCTTACCCCCATTGGCTGGACTAGGTCTATCACAAAATCTCTCCCGGCACAAACAGCCATCATTAGAAGAATCTTTCTTTAATTGAGAACATGGAGCCCATTTTGACCAATCTCCCCAGTCACCATCAACTAAAATAAGAAAAGATGGAAAATACTTAATCCATGCAAGCTAAAGGATTTATTATTTTTGTTTTCAGTCCCATCAGTTAAAATAACAGCCCACCAGTGGTTGAATGGGTAAGATTTTGAAACACTGGTAGTTTTACCTGGATTTAAATTCCAGTGAACTGATTAGTGTTTATATAGTTTGTTCCATATATGCAAGTATACGCCAGTTTCTCTAAGAAAGTTTCTCATAAAGACACTCCTACACTTATGCTACCAACTGATGATACATAAGACATACCTTTTATTTATTTTCAACACAAGATCCTTACAGGACCAGCCTGATGAGTTACATGTGCCATGCAGAAAGATAGTCACATAACTTAAAATAAAAAATCAGATAATGTTGCTATTAAATTAAAAGATACACAGTACATAAATAAAAGATACTTTATTTTTTAATGAAAGGTAACATATAAATAAAAGGTATTTTAGTAGATAATAAAAGGTATTCTACTCACTAAATAAACTACACAACAAACTTCTCTTAATTTTTTTTTTTTTTTTTTTTTTTGGGGTTGCTAGATATCTAGGCAATTTTCAAATTTTAATCACCCCTGAGGCCATAAAAGACACATGCATCATGGATCTATGCTATGACAGCCTATGCTATGGTTAACATTAATCATTAAAAAATATAATACATACCTTTTAATTACATTTTACTGAAAGCATTAGTTCATATTATAATTGTAATAAATAAAATACATTCCAAATACCGTATAATATTTTAACCCCAAAATTTCTAACTATATTTCTTCTGTATCCTAATATCAGCAAATGTGAAAAATCAGTCCTGTTTATTCATTTCATTTTTTAAATTCTATTCACACAATAAAGTACAAAGTCCATAATCCGGGCTCGTCGGGACTTCGGCGATTCCGGATTATCGATTTTTCCGGATTATAGATCATCAGTTTAAATCTGGTAAGATGGCATGCAGAAATTATACAATTAAAAATATGAAACCATAATTTATGAAATAAAGAGCAGTTATGATCTAAAGGGTATCAAAATTTACAAAACAAAAGCTTAATATTTATTTTTACTTTATTAAACATTTCTTTCAATGTAAGTTGTTTAAGTTGCTTCGTTTTTTGTGCTAATACTTTCTCTTTAATTCTCTCTTCTATAAACAGACATAATTTCTTGTTTAGTTACAAAGTTCCACTGTTCAAATCCTGTAATTGCTGTGTCGAGAATACAGACTAACTTGTCAACTGAAATTTTTTCGTTTTCAATAAACTTTCTTCACTATTGGAAGCGTTCATGTGTAAATGCTTTACTGGCTTTATGCGCATGCGTAAGTTTGTGGCTTTGAGGTCCGGATTATAGATCATTCTGGATAATGGACATCCAGATTACGGACTTTGTACTGTAGTATACTTTTTAAATATTTTCCTTCTTAAACCATTTTAAGATAAACAAGTAATATTAAAAAAAAAAAAAAAATTAAGTCAATTCCAACTGAAATCAACAATGAAAAAATGTTGTTTTTAGCCCCTACTATATTTTTGATTGATATAACATAAATGTTCCTTGATTACATGCAATATTTTTCTAGAATATATTATCATACTGATGACCATTATTAGATTATATGTGAAAAAGTTAATTGAAAGAGTTATTATTAAATATTAATTATTGAAAAAATTAGTACGTGAAAAAACTGTCGAGCTAATAGTAGGAATTAAAAAAAAAAGAAATTTCAAAACAAACTCCAGGGTTTCCAGAGTTACCTTTTTTTCATTTTGAATTTTAATTTTATTCAACTGTAAAGATTCAGTTTTATAAGTTGGCAACAGCAGATAATATTCTTTATTTAAAAGCAGAAGTGAAATATTTGTGTACATTTTTATTTTCAATTAATTTATATATATATATATATTAGTTGCAAACATTTTAGCAAGCTATATCATAATCTGAAGTTTTAACTGTCGAATAAAATTTCATTTCTGTTTTCAGTAAGTAATAAAATTCTGTCCATTATAAATATACGAGGGCTATCCAGAAAGTAGATTACGTTTTGGAATAAAAAAATAAACAAAGTATAGGAAACAAATTTTATTATATACAGATGAAAGCCACACTCAAATACTACTTTTCTACATAGTCACCATACAAATTAAGGCATTTATCGTAGCGATGTACGAGCTTGGAAATTCCTTCGTCGAAAAATTCGGCCGCCTGCGCCTTCAACCACTTCGTTACCTCTTCTTGCAGCTGTGCGTCGTCATCAAAACGCTGCATAGCCAGCCACTTCTTCATTGCTGGGAATAGGTGGAAGTCGCTCGGTGCCAGGTCGGGACTGTACGGCGGATGAGGAAACAACTCCCACTTAAAAGATTCAAGAACTTTACGAGTGACATTTGCTGTGTGGGGCCGGGCGTTGTCGTGAATCAACAAGATCTTAGAGCTCAACATTCCTCTGCGCTTGTTTTGAATTGCTCTTCTGAGTTTTTGGAGAGTTTGGCAATACCTTTGAGAGTTTATTGTAGTGCCTCTTTCCAGGAAGTCCACCAAAATTACACCTTTTCTGTCCCAAAAAACAGTCGCCATTATCTTCCTTGCCGACATTGTTTGCATGCATTTCTTGGGTTTTTGGGGAGAACTTGTGTGCCCCCACTGCATTGATTGCAATTTCGTTTCACAGTTCACATGTTTCACCCATGTTTCGTCACCAGTAGCGATGCGATCGAGTAAAGAGTCACCATCCTTATGGTAAGCGTCCAAAAAGTTCAACGCTGCAGCCATTCGCTGATTTTTGTGGTCCTCTGTCAAGATTTTTGGAATCCATCTTGCACAAAACTTGTGGTAACCAAGCTTTTCGCTGATGATTTCGTGCAACAAACTTCGCGAAATTTGTGGAAAACTCAAAGAAAGTTCCGTTATTGTGAAATTTCGACTTTCACGGACTTTAGCATCGACTTTTTCGAGAAGTTCGGCGGTCACTATGCTGGGTCTCCCACTTCGATCTTCGTCGTGAACATTGGTTCGGCCATTTTGAAATCTTATGACCCACTGACGCACTCCACCTTCAGTGATAATGTTGTCCCCATACACTTCACGAAGCTGCCGATAGATTTCTATCGGTTTACAGTTTTTTGCAGTCAGAAACCTTATTACTGAGCGCACCTCGCAGCTCGCGGGATTTTCAATTAACGCAGACATTTCAAACCGTCACAGTATCTGAACGGAGCACAGCACGAACCTCTCACTAGCACGGCTAGATGCAGACTGAGCTGCGCAACGCTCTGACCCCAAGATGGCCGCGCTAGCCCCGCCCCTAGCGGACACAGACGGAAACGTAATCTACTTCCTGGATGGCCCTCGTAGAATAGAAATGCAAGAGCATGTTATTGCCTATTGACAATGGATGAGGTTTTATTAATTTTTACTACATAAGTTTTATAGATATAAAAAAGTTAAATGCTTTAATGAATTAAAAAAAATATTTAGGAAACGAAATGCACATATTGGCAGATGAAGTGTACATAACTATTTTGTTACAATGCTCGCAATACAAATCATAAAAAAATCTCTCTTTCTCTTTTACACTTACACTATAGGTGCAAATGTTTATAAAAGCTGCCTAGTGGCTATATTATGAAGTACAAACATTAGATATGTAATATATAAATTAGTTATATTTTAAAACATAAAACAAAAATACAGATTATGAAGTATAACTTCAGCTTTGAATTGCTCAGTTTAAGCAACAAAGAGTTCTAAGCTGAAAGACAAATTAAAGATCTTATGTTACATGGAATGGCAACATTTCAACCATTTAACTACGAATGGTATAGTGACATCTGCTCTTCAACAGTATGTGAGATGAAAGAAATGGAAACATGCTGAAGCAATATTTTCTGGATTACTGAAGGAAATTCCGTGCCTGTTTCTTAATTCTTTATTTTCAAGGGTTATTTTGGCAAATGAGATCTCATATGAGAATTCAGTTCAGCAGCAAGACCCTAGTTAACTCTCCGTGGTCCTCCAATATGCTTTAAATTTGGATCATTAGACTAATTTTCTGAAATAAATGTGACAGATCATCTTCCAACATTCACTAGCTTAAACAATATAATACATGTTTGTCCATAGTTACAATAAGGATAAGGACTGATAAAACAGGCATATATGATCTCTTCCAATAAGACAGAAACTATCCTAATGCAATCTAAAAAGGTGTCCTTCAATAAGAAAAATGGTAAAATAATGCCACTCTTAGCTGTTATCAATTTTTGATAAAGAAATAATTTTTGGAGGTATATATATTCCTTTCCTTTCCTTGTATACCCCTTTGCAGGAGTATAGAATTTTCCTCACCCAGATCCAGTAATCAGAGAACAACACCATGGAAAATATGATATGATAAAACTCATACATATCATAATCAAAAAAGAACATTCTTGGACATCACATCTCTCTTGGACATTAGTACTGGATCAATATACCAACATTCATGATAAAACATGTGCAAATAGTAAGTATTTTTACACTGCTATGAAACTGATGACAAAATATTTCTGTAGTGTATCATCACTGAATAAGAATATATAAAAAAAATTCCCAGATTAGCTGCTCCACTGACAAAAATGTGCATTACTCACCAGAGTCTGAACACCCCCCCCCCTTTGAAACAGTTAGCATGTGCAACACTGCAACACTCCTGACATTCCTGGCACATTGAAATATGGCTCAAAGCTATTTTGCGTAAGTGAGCCCTTTAACCGTTTATTCATATAGGATCTGATCACTAATGATATTCCCAATTGTAAAGATTTAAAAGAAGTGAATCAGAGGCCGATGATAATTAAGTAGAGGCTTTATTAAAAGATGGAATTTCACGCACATGGTAAAGCACGTTTCTACATATCACACGAGCACAACTACAACCGTTGCCAGATCAACCTAAGCAAAAATTATAAAACAGTTACAGTTAAAATACATGACATTAAAAC